CCCCCCCCATCTTGGGAGGGGGGGCCCAAGATTAAATCTTGCACCAGGGCCCTTTGGTTATTAGGTCCGCCACTGTGTGTAAGCCTCTTCTGCCAAAAATGTTGCTACCTGCCTGTCAGCAATTTTGTGTTTCTGTGCATTGAGTTGCGCTTACTTAGCTCAGTGCACAGACTCAGCATGCCGAGATGAAGTGCATGGGCCTGGCCAATTAAGAGGACGAAGACGCCGAACCCTGAAGATGGCTTGGTGAAGATGGTAGTGCAGACAACAGAGGGGAGAATGCAAAGTGCAGCACTGGAGGGCATCGTTTCAAGGTAATTCTGCAATCATGTGCCGACACCACCACAGCACTTAATTTGCTACACTGCACTAGCAGCAGGACAGCTCATTTTCAGCACAAGGAATCATACAGATTTGTTTTCCTTTTAGAATGAAATATATCTTATTAGATAGGACAAAAAAAACAATAGTGTGTCACAAAGGTAATAAACATTATTTTCCAATAGGTAGGAACAACACTAATATAAACCGCTGCTTTCTAATACGTGTCAGTGTTTAGCTGTGCAGAAAAGAACATTGACTGTATTTCTAGATAATCATCTATCTGCTAGAGCCAGCCTGTGCATGATGACGTTCCCTCTCACAACGCTCCGTTTCCATTATTATTCTGTACATACTAATGTGTTCTGTGCCTTCTCTTATATGATTCACAGGTTGCCGAACACCAAGTTGTGTCCAGTGTTCAGCTAAGATGTATTGTGTGTGGATCCGTCTGTCAGAGGACACTATAGTTTCCTTTAAAGGGCTAAGAAGTCACAACTTCCTGGCACCATGAATACACACATATCCATGGAGATTCACCTAAACATCTCTAGGTCTCCAAGCCTGCTTTCTGGCACAGCTTGACTTCTATGTAATCCATGTAAAATCACATTCTTTTCCTGCTATTGTCTCCACTTCCCATGAGCTCAGACGCTGCCCTGCCTAACTTCCAAAATGTAGGCAGTAAGCCATGAACTGGGAAGTGCTCCTTAACTGAACACTACCAGCACAGAGTGTGTTTACTGAGCAAGCATGGAAAACAACTCCTAGGACACTAAATGTGCTAATAGACATCATCCATCCACCCTCTGGGACCTGCTAGAGCACAGGCCTGCACAAACAGAAATGCTGGGTTGTGGCAAATGTTCCTATTTACATAAAAGAGAGGAGTTTGGGGTTGGACAAGGACTGTGGTGCAGGCAAATGCTGATGGCACTGTTTTTTTGGGGGAAGGTACAATAGAAGCTGGGACAAGTTTTCTAACCTGTCAAATCTGTGTCTTAAAAGTCACCAACCAGCTTAAGACTGGGACTTTTCCGGTGCTACAATGGTCAACTCAAAAAAAATGTATAAAATATACCTTCATACCTTCTTTATTACACATAATATAAAACTTCAAAACCAATGAAAACTTAGGCTTGACTTAAATTGTTTTAAAGCAAAATTTATTAGCCCTTGCGCCGGGGCTACCGCC